AGGGGGAGATAGAACACTAAAAAAAACAGAAATGGAGAAAACAAAACAAAAATTTCTCCCTCATACCTGTAGACTAAGATTAGAGTGTGTGTTGCTGCTGGGTGCTTGTGGTAGAACTCAAAAGGAAGCTCTGGGGTGGGCAAATGTAACAAACTTTATCTGACAGGGGAATTTACATTTGAAGACCAAACAGTGAAAGCTTGATTATGCCAGGAGTTTGAAGGCTCATATTCCTTCCAAAACATTTCATGGCTTAAGATTTATGTGCAAAGTTTTTTTAATAACCCTGTAAAGTTCTTAGCTGTAATAATGTTTTTTTAAATTTATGAGCTTCAGCTTCAAATGGAAGAGGATTTGACTTTAACATTTCTGAAATTGGTCTTTATTCCTCTACATTAATGTATTTCTTGTCTAAATGACCACTCTTAGTGGCAAACATCTTTATTCCTCTACATTAAGTGGATGAAGAGAATTTCTGATATTATATGTATTTCTTGTCTAAATGACCACTCTTAGTGGCAAACATCTCGGGTTTTTTGTGTAATTGTTTTTCCATGTTTCATTCTGTAAGGACTGATGATGGAATGAATGGGTAGGCTTGTTTTTTAGCAGAGGTGTGTAATAATCAAAATATTGACAGTGAACTTGTACCATAGCCCTGTTTTGTTTCATAGGCTGTGTTGCAGCCTTTTGAAATGCTTTTTAGTCACATCAAAGCAAAGTGTCACTTCTCAGTGGCATCTCCTTGGTTGTTCCTGGCTTTCTTTTGGGCTGTGGCAGTTAATAGAGAAACCAATGTGATAAATGTTTCAGTCCAGTGCAGGAGATGTTTCTCAATGTTGAATTTCAACATGCGTTGTGTTGCTCAATGCATTTATTCAGTGAAGTCTGTTTAGGAGAAGCAAAGGACTTACTGTGTTAATTGTTGTATGCAGTACACTGAACAAAATAGGGGAAAAAAAAAGGAAATGCAAATCTTTTCTTATTTGCTATTTAATCTGAAAACATCGTTATGTAAAACTGTTAAATACAGGATACAGGTATGAGCACCTCAGGATAGGGACCACTTTTGGAAGGTATTTTGGTGTCCATTTGCTTCTATTTTGCCTATGAATAAAGAATAAATCATAGAATAAACTGGGTTCTTTGCCTTAAAACAGTATAAAACTACTTCTTCTAGAAGCTTGGTAGACTGCATAGATTTTTAAAGTGTCTATAATAATGTGCAGTCAAAACTTGTGATTAGAACAAGAGAATTAGTCTGAATACTCAATTTGTGGTTAGTCTTATCAGCTACTACCAAGCTACTAGTTTGCTATATTACTTAAACATCTGTGGGTTTACATGATTGAGGAAGTAGAATAAAACTGAAATTATTCACACTAAGTTGGACTTTTCATCCTGGTTCAATTATTTATTTCTTAACTTTTTTTTTTCAGACTTAAGGAGGAGATTTGAGAAAATATACTAATAATTTGCACAATTAATTTTCAAAGTGGAATGTACTGAAATCATCTTAGTTTTCCTAAATTAAAATGTTCGGTGTTCTAGCTCATAGTTTGTTTTTGTAGAACTGTACAACTAAAGCTTACATGCCAATGTAAAAGAACCCATTTTGCAACAAATTCTTTTCAACAAGGGGTTTTTTACATTTGGAAACTAGAAACCTCAGAGCTTTAAATTGATAATCATGTAGGAAAAAAATTACAGCACCTCAAAGAAAAAAAAAAAGACTGTTCAGTATACAGTATGGGCTGTAGCTAAGACCTTTTTCTCTTCTGAAAGGTATTACTTCCATTTAGCTGTGCTAGTATTTCATAAATAGAGGAGCATTAACCTTTTCTCAGTAAAATCCTGCTAGTTAGTACTCTAATAGAAAGTGGGCAAAGCTGGCTGTAAACTAAGTGCTTCAAAAAAGACATTGAATACAAAGTGGTCCTTCTTCACCTAAAGAAGGAATCAGTCAAGAAAGTCAGCAATCTCTGTAGAACTGCTGAAGAATTTTTCCACTTTAGATTCTCACAGTGGTTTCATCCATAACAAATGGATATAATCAAGTAGATGGCTTAGTCTGAGTTTAGTTTCCCTCACATAGCGTGACTCTGTAGAGAGGGGATGTCTGAAACAGGATCTCTGACTTTCTGGAGAAACTACTGGGTGGAATTATTCCATGATGGGGAAAGGTGGAAATTTTCTGCCCCAAGAAAGATGAGTCCTACCCCATCAGCAGATTTGCGGCTGTGGAACAGATTTGGGGCCAGTGTAGCAGAGGAGGGCCTGGGAGCATCCAAGCCAGCAGGGCCTGAGCTGCACTGAAGCACCAGGAGAAAGGGGGAGGTGGTCACTTCTGAGAGAATCCTGGCCCCATGTGCCATCCTGACCTGTTTCCTCTTGAGGGTTGTGCTTGCCTGGACCTCAGGTTCAGCTTGTTGTCAACTCTTACAGCTTGTCTGGCCCTCAGACCATAACCCACTGCTCTTCCCTGTGGGGATCACCACTTCAGGGGAGATCTGGAAAGCTTGGAAGGTGACTGCAGCGTGGCTCTGGAGGCAGTTCAAGGGCACAGGGGCTCAGGTGGTGAGCTCCCTCCTGCTGGTAAGGTTGAAGAGACAAGAAAGTGATTGGAGTAGCCAGGAGGGAGTCATGAACAGGAAATCATGGAAACCAAGCCAGTAACCCTCTGTGATCAGAAGGCTGGCTCAGTGGATGAGGGAAGAACAATGGATACAGCTTACCTTGCCTTCAGTAAAGCTTTTGACACAGCCTTCTGCAACATCCTTGTAGGTAAACTGCTAAGTAAAGTAAAGTACAGAGTAGATGAATGGGCAACTTGGTTGAAAAGTGGCTAAACTCTTCAGGCTCAATGAGTTGTGGTCAGCAACGTGAAGTTTTGCTGGGAGACTGTCAGTGATTTACCCCAGGGTAAAAACTGGGGCCAGCACAAATTCGTGGCTGTCCTGGATGCTGGGGCAGAGTGTGCTCTCAGCAAGTTTGCTTGCTTAAAACTTGGAGTGCTTGATAGACCTGATAGTTGTACTGCTGTTTAGAGGGACCTTGACAAGCTGGAGAAATGTTCCAACAGGAATTTCATGAACTTCAGCAAATGGAAATGTGAAGTCTTGTGCCTAGAGAGGAATAACCCTGTCTCCCATGTCAGGCTGGGGGCCTGGAAAGAAGCTTTGCTGAAGAAGCCACGGGCTGTTCAGTTGGACAGAAGGGGGAAGAGAAGTCAGAAATGTGCACTTAGGGCAAAGAAGGCCAATAGCACCCTGGGTTGCATTAGGAGAAGCATTGCCAGCTGGTTGAGGGAGATTTTTCCATTTTCCACAGCACTGGTGAGGCACATCTGGAGTGCAGTGTGGGGTTCCCCAGTACAACAGAGACAGGGATGTGCTGGAATAAGTCCAGTGGTGGACCACAAAAATAATGAAGGAACTGGGCACCTCTCATGACATCATGCTCCAGTCCCTTAATCATCTTCATGATGCCCAGAATAGCCTGAGCCCTGTTTGTGGCAAGGGCATGGTGCTCGTGTAGATTCATGCAGTATGTCCCACGATTTGTGTTGCCTTTTGTTCTGGAATATCTGGTTATTGCATCTTACTTTTTTCCTTGAAAGGATAATGATTTTCCCTGCTTAATTGTTTTTTACAGATAGGCCTGATAATATTGTTCATAGGTAACATTGTTGACATATTTGCCACCATTTCAAAAGTATATTAAGAAACAATGCTTCTTATATGAGTTAATCTATTATGTGTTATCTTTACTGGAAGTATTCGCAAAGGAAGTCATTAATTAAACTATTAATAGATCCTTTGTAAAAGAATGGTATGTGCTATTTTTAAGAAAAGAAGGTGAAGGTACAGTGATGATTCTTGTCTGTTTGTGAAAATACACATTTGTTCTTGTAGAGGTTTGTTGTTTTGTTTCAGCATTTAGCTGAACTGCCACAATTAGTTTCTTAACTGAGGAATATCAAAATCCTTTTCTCATGCAGTTGTCCTTAGACTGAGACAGTTGGATTTGGAAACATGGTGGTAACTGGGTGGGTTTGGATTTATGTGTTGCTTAAATACTCTGGTAACTTCTGTGAAGTTAAATGAAATCATTCATTGAAGAGAGAACTAAGGGAATTCAGGTCTCTTGGTTTTGTTATCTAGAATTAGAATATTATAGGACCAAAAAGGATGTTTTAAATTAGTTTTTAATGGCAGCAATCTTGAAACAGAATAGATACCTTTATACAGCATAATATTCTGCAAAGATTTTCAGTGAAGAAAGTATGCATGACCTAGCAATGAGTTATCCCTTTTAATTATTTCTGAGGATTTTTCTCACTCTGATACTTAATCCTGTTGATACCTTTCTTCGTTATCAGTGATAGAATGAACTTGTGCCTTGAAAACAGCCTCTTATGTTTGAAAGCTGTTACCACATCTTCCTGCCACCTCCTTAATCCCAATTCTTCATTCTTTCTGTTGGCTATGTCTTCTAGATCTCTTTTTTTTTTTTTTTCCTGGTCTCATGTGGGATTCTTTATCAGTTTATTATAATTTGCAGATTCATGTTAATGACTGTTCATCTATGGTGACTCCAGAAATATTTCTCCAGAAAATAGGACCACATTACATTATTCTATATGGGTTGTAGATCCTGTGTTTTTGTGTATATTGGGGGGTGCATATGTGTATATTGGGGGGTGCATATTTATATGAATGGTGGAAGAGTGGATAAGAGAATGGTGAAACTTTTTATAGCTTTCAAAACAAATGTCTAAAAATTCTTAAGAATGGAAGAGGGTTGTTTTGTTTGTTTGTTCAAGAGTTCAAGAAAATCCTGGAAACTGGTTAATTCTCCACTGATCAGAATCTGTAACAATTGTGTTTATTTCTTCACTGTTACCAATTCTAAACTGGTTTTTTTCTTTTTTCTTTTTTTTTTCTTTTTTTTTTTTCCTGTCTTTTTTTCCCCCTCCATCTTTTCTCTTCAATTGACAGCTTTTGGAAATTAACTGGACTGGACTGACCAATCTTCTGGATGTTCCAGGACTGAAGTGAGTAAACCTAAAGCAGTGTTTGATATATCTGCACCCCAGTAGATCCCAGAAAATCTCAAGACCATCAATTGAATAGTTTCTAGGTTAGATGACTCTGAGCAGTTATCTCTTAATGTAGAAGTATATGAAATTGCTCAATTTGCAGAAGGTAATGATTTCACCACAAGGCAAAATATGCCATAAGTATATATAGTACGTCTTGTTAAAAATACTTTGAAAATATAATTTGTAATGTGCTTCTTTTAGTGTTCTCAGCCTTTCCAGAATCTTCTGAATTTCCTATCTGCCATCTCCTATGAAAGACACAGAACCTTCCTTTCATGCCAGTGGGCTCATGACATCTTGGGTCTTGGCTTTGTATGCCAATCCATCTCTATTTGCTTGTGTACAGGTCGTTAGAAGTATTTTAAGATTATTCAAATTAAATACAATTTCTAATATATTCAAGTGTTTACTTTTAAAGCTTTCAGTTTATTATGTGAAGATCAAGTGGAGTAGCAAAAACACTGACTGTATATGGCTATAAAATAGCTTAGCTTATTCAGAGCTTTTCCTAATACCACATGATAAAATCCCAAATTAAAAAGCATCAACAGAGGTGCAAATCAGGCTGCTTTCAATCATTATAAACCTGATAAAGTTAAATCCATTAATATATTCATATTTATCAGGTTTTAATAGTTACCCAGGGGCTTTTTAATATGGAGACAATGGCAGAGGAGATAATGGCAGATCTGATACACACTTGGATTTTGTGACTACCCCTTTTATTAGACCACATACTCTCAAGAGTTGGCTGAGTCCAGAATTGTTTTTTATTGTTTCAAAACAGGAGTTTGAATTTAGTTATTACATTAATCCCTGAGTAATCAATTGCATGACTGAAGTGGGTTTTGCTTTCCTTAGACACGTGAAGCCATTGCATGGAATCCCAGCTGAATAGTTTGAAATTAGAACTTGCATTAAGTAGGTTAATGGCTCCAAGAATTGCTTATGTTTCAAGCCTGCATAAGACTGTCTCTGAGGAAAGAGGTTTTCTTGATGAGTGAGAGAAAATGGCTTCCAAAATACAGCTCCTGAGTAATAATTCCCCTTTTTGATATAACATGACTAAATTTACATTTAGTACTTAACTTTACTAGGCTCCTGAGACTCACATCCTGCTACATATTTGCCTGACTGCAAACACAAAACCTCAGATGTAAACAAAGTCTCGCTAAATATCTCAAGTTTATGGTTTCCAGAGCAACCAAACTTGGCCACATATGCACAAACCAGTGCCATCTAGACGTGGTATAGTTTCTATAGAAACTGTAACTGGGGTGACTCATGTTCTGCTTTGCCAAGAGGTTTCTTTAGTGCTGTATTTGTTTTTCTTATCTGTATAGATAAGTTGTGTATTTTGGTCTGACAACTTGACGTATTGTAGTTGTTATAAACAATGATGAACAAGAGATTGCTGCCACCACAGGTACCTTTATAATCCTATGGCTGTTGGCTGCACGCTGAACTGCTTATTTGTACTGTGTGCAAATGTCTTCTGCTAATTGAATTTCAGCATTAGCTGCTGGAAGCTTCCCTGTCAGCTGTTAACAATTTTTTCATTGCTTTTCCTATATGACTCCACAAGGAGAAGGACACACAAGTAATTCATGTTCCATGATTAGTATAGCTTGTGGAGAAGTGGAATTAAAATCTCTGTGTGAGGAGAAGCCAGGCTGTGAGAATACTCACATGCTTTCAGGAGGGGATGTGGATGATGAGAAGATGTTGGGGTTGCTTGAGATAGTTGTGAAAACACTCTGTGCAGTCAGAAATGTGCTGTCTCTGCAGTACGAATAAAGACAGTGCAGGAAAAGTACACAGCTGATGAAAATTGATAAAAATTAAGTAGAACTAAGTAGAGAGCAATACAAAAGAGTAGGAAACTAACAACTATTCTACAGTGAAATTGAGCTTTTGAAGACAGTATAATAAACAATATAAAACATTGCACACTTCATTATTTTTTTAACTGAAGAAATAATTGTATAGAATCATTGACTAAAGTTTTATGATCTTAGGAAGGTGGTTTTTAATGATGCATCAACATAAGGGTTTATATTGTTCCCTGTTGCATCGTTCTCTGTTGCTTCCAGTGTTTTGTCTCTGTTTTCCATAGATCAGACCACTTAATTTAGATAACAAAAAATGCAAAAGATTGTCATTTTTGCCTTGTATTCATGAAGAATACTTTGCATCCAAGAGCACCCCAGCTGGCTAATACTAGATGAGATTTAAACAGCTTGAAAGCATCGTGTTGTTTTAGCATTCATTTAATTCATTAGTCACATACAATCTTCAGTGTTCTTTTTCAGCTCTGTATTTAAAGTTAGGGTATCTGCTACCTTCTAGGAGTTCAGTTTCTCTGTGTAAAGCTTGGTGAAACTTCATTAATGCTGCCTCATTTTTCTCAGGTGTTTTTTGTGAAATTCAAGTAGTAATGTTGGGATAAAATTATGAGACTGACCTCTGGAACCAGAGTTGGGGTTTGGTTCTGGCATAAAGGATTGTGAGTCCTCCCAGTGCTTGAGCTGTGTTTCTTTCTCTTATTCAAGGAGATTTGCTGTAGCTCTGTTTGAACATTAGTCAGTCTCTGAACCTTTATGCAGGTCCAGAGTAGGTTTATTTATGCCTGTGATCAGGTAAAGTTTGTGATCTTAAGGAAATACTAGAGAAGAGCAGGGCAAGCTCTGGTACCATTGCTTTCCTTGCATGGCTCCGTTGCTTTCTGTCAGTTGTTTTTCTCCATTAGTCACCGGTTCTTAAGGGACTGAGCAGGAAGGCAGAGCTTTCTCTTCTTGCCAAGTAGGGACACTAACCAAAGCAGGAACAAAAAAGCTTACCTGATCTCTAGTAGAGCTTTGTCATTAGACTTGTATTTTAAAAAGTGTGATTGTTGCATGTGTAGTTACCATCACTTCAGCTTGGGTTTGGTTTTTCTTTTCATTTTAATGTTAACACTGGTTGAGATGTTTATCTACAATTTTTTGTCACCTCTTGACAAAATAATGAATTCTATTTTCTTGGCTCATTTCAGAGAGCATAAATTGAAAGCGAGATGTTTGGCAAAATGAAACTTTAAAGTTTGAAAAGCAGTATGTTAAAATGACAGCTAAGTGAAGCTGCTCTTCAGATAACATGATTATCTCGTAGTATTTGTCTTAAGATTTACTGAAACTGAATTTCTAGGGTTCACATAGAATGACAACCTCTGTAAATGTGATTGGATGAGCTCTGCGTGAAAGGGAGGGGAAGGAAGACTCTTTAGGGCACATGTGAATTAACTCAGAAGTTGAGAGGAAACTTTTTTCCTCTGAGCAGTATCTTAACATTATCCACTGTCTCTTCTTTCTAACCAGAAGCGTGCACAGGCCTGTCCATTGATTTTGGTGCAGCCTTGAGCTCCCTCTGTTCCTGCTGTTCTGAGTACCATTACAAAGTCAGCCATGTTCCATCATGTATTACCTGGATTTCCAGTGGAAGTGGGCAGCCAAGGGGTTGCAGGCTGTTCAGGTTGCAAATCTCTGGCATGAAAATCAGTGTGGATTTTTACTGGGCCAGATTGTATTTAATGGGTTTGTTCTGTTGCCCATCTCTAGCATAATGTTAATTGCTCACCACTACATTTTCCTTCCAAATGAAACTGTTACCACATATCATGTTTCACTGCAGCTTTTGTGTTTTTATATGCTAGCTCCTGAGTCAGAGCTATTCCCAGCTTCAGATTCAATCTTAGAAACGTCACAAGGTGCTCACACACAAGTGCTTCATCCAAAAAATGTTCAAAATAATCAAACGTTATCTGCATCTTGGTTTCGCAAAGACTGTAAAAAGGGAATAATGGAGTGTATTTAGGAGGAGAAACCTCAGCTCCACCAGCTTTAGTGAGTGTCCCTCTGCAGTTCAGAGTATCTCAAGTATTGTTGTAATGACTCTCTGAACCTTTGTACATCCTCCTGAGATGTCCTGGTTGCTTGTGTTCTGTGTTCTGCCTTCTGCCTGTGTAGGCAATGTGTGGAACCAGTGCTGTTGGTCTGACAATGATTTGTTGTCAGTTCAGACCCCAGCTGGGTGACCTTGTGGCTGAGGAAATTGTTCTCTTCTCTGTGTTTGTGGAGGGGTGTGGGGTTTTATGTGATTCATTACCAGTGTGGTTGCATTGCCACTCCCTTTTCACTGAGCAAAACCAGTTCTGCTTCCCTAGGCTACGTTTTACTCAGCCGTGAGCTTGTGTTCTGTGTGTCTGTGGTTTAAGTGATGGTCCTCCCAGCTCAAGAGGACAAGTGGTTTCATAACAATACAGGAAGGGGTAGCCAAACTTGCAAGGACAGATAAATCATTATTGAAGTACAAAAGTAATTAAACAGTTACCATCTGCTTGGTTATATGCATTAGAGGCAAGAGAACTTATGCAACAGCCTTTTACCCAGGCTGGTTTGAAAAGGCAAGGGTGAGAGGGAAATTTGGTTGTGGCAGGGAAATGGGAACTTTATATTCATCCCTGTGGTTTCTGCTGTTCAGTGTCTGCTGCTTCCACCTGGTGGCCGTTTGGGCAAGAATCCGTTATTTTAAGTTTACAAACCAGATATGTTTCTGCTTTCCCAGGAAGGCAAATATTTTCTACATTTAGATTGTTAAGCAGCAAAAGGAATTTTTTTTTTTTTTAAGTAACTGAGGATTCTTTTCTCCAACAGTGGCTTATCAGATACAATAATATTGGATATCATATCCAACTACTTGGTCCTTCCAAATAGAATTACAGTGCCCCTGGTCAGTGAAGTGCAGATTGCTCAGCTGAGGTTTCCTATACCAAAGGTAAGCAGGTTTCTGTTCACAGCCATAATTGGGCATTTAGTTTCTTCTGTACTAATTTTTCAAGGCAGTCTGGAGGAATTTTGAAATACAGTTACTTCCCTGGTACAAGTTGCTGTGAATTCAGTCACTGATAATAACTGATTTAATTTATAAACAATTTCTGTGAAGTTAATGTTTCAGAAGAAGACCAAGAAAGATTTATTCATTTATTTTTTTTTAAATCTTAAACTTATTACTTTTACAATCACTAGATTGTTACAATCTGGTTTAACTGTATAGATTAAAAAAAGTAGCATGTGTTTTATATTATCATGGAAAATTACTATTCATGTGCTTCGCTAAACAGTTGTTGCTATTTTTTGCTACTCACTTCCAGAAACATGATATTTCTTGATGTAACTGGCATGTTTCTGAGGGCTGATGGCAGTTTTTCTTTTCAGGAGTCTCTTGAGTGTGTGGATCATCACTTATATCTTCTATTTACAGTATGTCCAAAATAAGTTTCATGTTAAGGAAATGACAATGGAAATTATAAAACATCTTTGTGATGACATGGAAGCTTTCAGATTACTATACAAACTCATCTTTTCCTTTTTCAGGGTGTTCTAAGGATACACTTTATTGAAGCTCAGGATCTAGAGGGGAAAGATACTTACCTAAAAGGGATTGTCAAAGGAAAGTCAGATCCTTATGGAATCATCCGTGTGGGCAACCAAATTTTCCAAAGCAAGGTCATCAAAGAAAATCTCAATCCAAAATGGAATGAAGTTTATGAGGTATTACCAATAAAAATACCTTGTTGTATGTTCTTCTTTATGGAAGAAACAAAAAAAGAAATATCCTCTTTCTTTTGTTAAAGAGGTTATTTTGGGGGTCCTTAAGGAGCTTCTGGATGTCTCCTTCTAGAAGCCCAAAGTTCTGCAACAAAACAGAAATTCTCCCTTTATTTTTATTTTTATTTTTTTTTGTCTAGACTGAGCATCAGTAATTCTGAAAAAGTAGTTTGGGCTTTTAGAGCCAACATTGACAAATTTTATCTGAAAAGCTCTTAAAATTGCTCTACTCATTAAATTGCAATTTTTTAAAGCATTTGCTTACTAATGTATTTGATTGTACAAAGGTAACTGCAGCTCAGTGTTTTACTGTTATTGTGCCATTTAACCAAGCTGGTCATTTTTACTGATAATGTTCTCTCCATGAACTTCCAGGCCTTAGTGTATGAACATCCAGGACAGGAGCTAGAGATTGAGCTCTTTGATGAAGATCCAGATAAAGATGACTTCCTGGGCAGGTAAATGTTATGGAAAATATGTTTGTAGGTATTGGAAAGAGATTAAATATTGTAATTTTTCTTCAATTATTATTTTTATTTTATTGCAGTTGTTCTGCTATCTAATTGTATTTATAAATAAATTATCTTGGTGGCAATTCCCTAACTACTTCATGTATGTAAATACATTTTTATGCAAATGTGCTTGGGTGTGTATATACATGTCTATATGTATTTACATCCTTTCTGAAAAAAAAATGAGTATTGTAGGTACCCAGAGTTGTGCCTTAGCTTCTTTAATGTCTGTGAGCTAGCACTAAGTCTTAATTCTTCCTTCAGGCAAAGTTAATATAGTTTTATAACTCTGTATCTTCTTCATCTTCATAGCTTCTAAATGACTGTCTTGAGTTTGTTTTTCCTCTTAAGAGCTGATCTTAACTATTTGATTAAAGAAAAATTTTTACTGTAATGTTTTTACAAACATGACTCACTCTTTGACTCCATAGGTGTTTACTCATAAACATTTCAGGGTTTTAGCCAGCTTCTTTCTCCAATATTTTGTCACCTTTATTTCTTGCAGTTTTGGAACTTCCCATTGTTGCTTTCCATACAGAGCAGAGCTTCCTTGCCTTTCCAGCTCCTCTCTTAACAGGAACAACAGTACCTGCTTCTCATTCAAATAAAGAAGTAGATAGTACAAAGGCTTCTTTTTCTTTGCACTTCCCTAATCTTACTGATTAGGGAATGGTGGGAGGAAGTGACATAATGTGTACATCTGTACTAATAAAATAAAAAGCCAGGCAAATGTTCATGCACTGGCATGCTGATGTCTGCTCTGCTTAATTTTTAGCAGATTCCTTCCCTGCTACATTTTTAGCTTGTGTGAACTAGAACTCTGCCAGACACTGCCAAAGCATGAATTTGGTCATAGCATATGTCCAGGTGCTATTTGCAGTGGGTAGTTTGGATGTGCTCTCTGTTTTGAGAGCTAGGTCATATATATGTCAGTTGTATTGTGCCAGTTGCCCTCATGGCTACAAAATGGGCTCTAGTGTAGGCATTTTCCTGAAATCCTGCACTCATCTTTGCTCAGCCATTTCATTCACTGCTCCTTCTTTTATTAGGTGCTAAAAGAAGAGTATTCTGCTCTTTTGATCTCAGTGGATACTCAGCAAGCACAGGGTGGTGCTTGAGTTCTGTGCTAGATCTTTTGTTTCTTGGCTAAAATACAACTTCTTTTTCTCTCTTTTTCTAGTTTGATGATTGATTTAATTGAAGTTGAAAAAGAGCGTCTTCTAGATGAGGTAATCAAGTTCAGTAAGTTTTGGTTTAACAAGGCCCATATGTTGTACATGTTGTTGTCCTCGGATTATTTTTTTCCTGGGCATAATTCGTGTATGTGCAAGAATAACCCCAATGCTGTAGAAATAGATGCCCTGACGATCAGTACAGTGGTTTAAGAGATATTTAAACTGGTGAAATTGGAAAAATAATGTCATTCTTTGTTGGTCTTGGGGTTTTAAGGTTACTCCTATGCAAATGCAAAAAATGGTAACTTAGATATTCGGTGAAAGTTTTATTGCAAGAGAATAGTAATGGCTGGGCAGACTAATTTTTGTCCTATATGTAAGAGAGATTTTATAGGAACATTGTGCAGGGTTTGTTTTCCCAGAACATCTTTACGGAATTTTAAGAATTTTCTTGGTATTTTAAAGATGCTTTTATCATATAATGTATAATGTTTGTCTTTTCTCATTCTGTGTTGTAATACCTTATGCAAAATACAACATTTTCATGGATCAGACCTTTCAGGTTATGTGGACTTCACCTCTGAGATATTCTTAGCAGACTTTAGTGCTTCCTAAATGTCCTGAAGAAATAATTGCAATCATAGATTTGTTTGCCAGGTTATGTCACATTACTTTGCTTAATTTTCAGTGGTTTACTTTGGATGAAGTGTCCAAAGGAAAGTTGCATTTAAAACTGGAATGGCTCACATTGATGCCAACTGCTGACAATCTAGACAAGGTATGAAAGGAACCCATTACTTTCCTTCTAATCTTAATTGTTTTGGGGTGATTTTGTTGTGACTTTTTTGTTTATTTGTTGAGTATGTAACCAGATCTCTAGCTGCTGTGAATTTGGAGAAACCTGTAACTTTATTCCAAGCTGTCTGTCTTTAGAAATCTCAAACCAGTTATAAGTGTCAATGGTTTAAATGAGATTTTCAAATGCTTTTGTTGTTCTCTTCTTCTGTCTTAATGTTACTGTTTGAGATTTCATTAGTCTGGGAGGTAAAGATGGATATAGTATTACAATCTGTCTGATCTAAAAAAAATAAGTAGGAAGTGGGGTGAAAATTTCCATGCAAATGGTTTTGAAATGTCTGTATGAGTCTTGCAAACTTATTTTTTATGCTTCATGCTCTGAATTTGTGAATATTTGCTTTTTAGGAGATGGTTTTTGGTTTAGTTTTTTTTCAGAAATGGGACAGAAATAGTAATACTTGGTTTCCAGAAAGGCTTACAGTGTTTTTGTTTTAGGTGCTAACAAGCATTAGAGCTGATAAAGACCAAGCTAATGATGGGCTCTCATCTGCATTGCTTATTCTGTATTTGGACTCAGCAAGAAATCTGCCTGTAAGTTATGTTCTCATGGATACCCTTCTGTCACAGAGTCTCTTGGGTACTCCCAGCATGTCTTGCTTGGTAGTGTGACACTGCTTTACTAACACACATTGTGCCATCTTCTCTATAATTCCTCTCCTTTCAAGACGTGTAATGTAAGGTCCACTTTTTTAGTAGCATAGTATTTAGCTATATATTTAATAAAACATGATTCTTTAATCACTGTGGTTTTTCTTTAAAGAATGCTCCTTTCCTGGACTTGAAAGGCTGCATGTTTTTATTATATGATGTTTTCCATACATGGTATGGGATTAGCATGAGGAATTTTAAGGAACTAACTGAGGAACAATCCACTTCCATAAGTTCAGGTGAACTTGCTTGCTTTGGCTTAGGGTATTGCTGGAGATTTGGAGGTACTGAAGTCCTCACCGTGAAATCAATCCTGTGCAGTTGATGTTACAGTGCCAGAATACTTGTGTGAGATTTCTACCAGATTGTTTTTTGCAGGGTGGTTTATTTGCTTTTGCAAAACATAGAAATAAGTCACGTTCTCTCTCTCTATGGATTTATCCTATTGGACTGTGAAATAACTTGTTTTGGAGTTTATTTCAGATTAGTAAAGTACTGTTCCTGGTTGTAACTGATAGCAGTAATAAAGTTAACTCTACCATAAAGAGATACATGAAACTTAACTGAGTTTGCTGGTTTTCTGCATTGCTATTAGATGAGTTGTTCTGGAAGTGATTACTAAAATATTAATCAGAGAATACAGTTTTCAAGCTTTGGATTTTTTGCATGCATTTTGCAGATGTGTCTGCTGAAATTTAGGTTAAAAGTAAGTTAAATCATAGTGGTAACAAATGAAACCTTAGTAGCCCAAACAATTTACATGACTGACTAGTGATTTCATGTCTGTTCCAGGGTGTATAGAGCAGAGTTTGGAAGCAGTATTTCTAGGCTATTTTAAAAGCTAAAAAGACTCATTTGGAATGGATCCTCATGTTTCCTTTTTAACCTCACTGTATATTAAATTCAGGCAAAATCTGTAACTTAGCAGAAAATAAAATAGAATTACTACAGTACAGAGCAAGCAGGAACAGAATAGAATTATGGTGTGCTTAGCATCAGTTTCAGAGTACCGTGACAGATAGGAAGAGTCTGTCTGCCATCTGTTTTGTGTAGTAGATTCAGTTGAACCAATTTATGCATCTTCTTGTTCAACTACTGAATTTTACTGAAACAGCTACAAATTTAATATGTTTGGTAAAATACACTAAAGCCTCTTACTTTAAATAAGTGGTGTAAAGTTCTCTCCTACACCAATTCCAGTCTTTTCCACATAGCTCTATGTTACATTCTCCAGCAAATACTGAGGCTTTGTCATAAATTAAAGTTTTTGTTTTAAACAAACATTCTCTAACATTATCTCTCTCCTTTAGAAAGATGAGGTTGCAGGTCTCAAGTTCTACCTTTTTTGCAGACAGTAGTTTAATTTCAGTGCATTTAATCAGTAGATCTCTAAACTCTAGGGCATAGAAAGGGGGAGTTCTTTGCACAAAGCAGACAAGTTAGGAAATTTGGGAACAGCATCCTGAATTTCCTGTTGCTGCATCTGATATTCTGTCTACAGTACAAGAATTGGCTGGGTGGGTTGAGAATGATGGTCATAGTGTGGGACCTGTCTAATCCTTTTACTTTTTTCTTCCTCTACCAGCCCAGAAAAGCAGTTGCAACAAATGACTCAATATTTAACTTCAAGTAATTTTCTTTCCAGTGTTGTAAAGGATGTATTAGAAAATAACATGGAACAATTGTAAATTCCATGTACAAGTTTACTACAAAAGTATAATGTGATACTGTGTTAAATCAAATTTTCTAAAACCAGAGACTGAAAGGCTTCACAGTTATGTCAAATAGGGGGAACTGCCATGGGAATACTTTTTATATGCAGGAGAACTGAAAAGGTTCCTGTACATTCTAGAAAGACAATGTCATGGAGCTTCTACATGAACTGCAGTTAATTGTAGTAAATAGAGCTTTTTTATGGCCATAGGATTCTAATATGGAGCAACATTTACAAGACTAAACATGAAATTTGCTGGTTTCTCATGTTTAGCTCAAGTTCAGTGGTAGGGGTTATGTAGAGAAATAGCAAATTAATCTCTTGGATTGCTTGTATTTGTGGAGAAGAGAGAATTCAAAGAGAATGGTTAAAATTACACTGACCCACATTAATAATTTGAAGAATTTTGTGCACCACTTTAACATTACAGTGAAATGTTTTCTACATGAATAATTACTTTTAATTACCTTGCAAATTGCCTTAAGTGAATGCTTATCACTGGTACATTTTAGGTCATGCCTTCAGCCTTGTTTTGTTGGAGTTACAGTGTTGAGTTACCACAACACGGGCCTTTCTTTTGCATCATAGTTGTGAGTTTCTGGCACACTGGGATGATTGATCTGGAAAAGAAATAGAAATTATGTAGAAGGCTGGTTTCTAAGTTAGTAAACATTAGTTGGATCTGCCATGTAAATCTGGACTATCAAGAGTGAGCCTGGAAAGTGGGTTAAGATCTTTGAATAATTAATTTTAAAAAATAAATTAAAAAGCATTCCACCTTGCTGTGCTACAGAAAGTCATTTAATGGATGAAACTATTTGTAATGACAATTACTTACTTTTTGTTACCTGCTGTTTTCTCTGGAATCCTTTGACTATTTTCCTTGACTTTTCTGTGTAGTAAAGCTGCTTATGCATTCATTCTGCCACAATCCCATCACTCTGCTTTCTCCTTCCATTTCCATCTTCCTAAGAGTATCTACGAGGGAAACTTTGGGTGTGGATACTTAAAAGAGAGGAGAGCATCGGGACTAGTCTTTTGTGAAAACACTACCTCACTCTATAGAGCACTATTTGTGAGTTCTCTGGTATTGTTTGTATTGTACCTTTTCTCTGCCAGAGTGTGGATTAGTGCTACTAAAGCCACTCACTCTAGTGGAATGAGAGCATGCAATTTGTTTTCCTGCATGGTTTCAACAAGTGTGCATTGTTTTTGTGCTATTTTTATTGCATTTTAAAGGCTACTTAAATTTCATTGATCAGCATATCATTGGGTAAGTAATTAACCTTTTATGATAAAACCCAAGATAAGTTTGTTGTAAAAGCTCTTACATTTAACTTAAATTGCTGATTCATTGAGAAATAAAATGAATACTGTGCTAGCACACTGTGTGCTGGTTAATTGTTGGATTTTATTGCAAAGAAATTAAAATAATAAATATTGCAACCAATAGTTTTGTCAAAAGGTGACACACTCAATGTTTGTAAGAACTTGCAACCTTTCCACACTGGTTCAAGTTGTTTTAAAAATGGGTGCAGTTCTTTGTGCTTCCCAGACTATAAATTCCCTTGTAAATTCTATCTCACTCCATGATGCTCCTTGTTTTGCAAATTCCCAAGCTCCTTTTCTTTTTTGGAAATTAGTCTGTAGTTGGGAGAATTCAGGCTAGGGTGAACTAACAAGTAATATTTTTTGCTTGAATTTAACGTTACAAAACTATTAAAAGCTGATGAGCCTCTGAGTATCTTACACTTAAATCTGGAAGTACAACCTTGGTGTCTTCAAAACGACTGAGAATCTTTTCAGAATAAATATCTTTTTGCCAGAGAGAGGTGGGTTTGTCTTTGGAGATTGTGCAGACAAATTTGTAACTGGCTGGCTGCATCATAATCCTCAATTTTATAACACCTTTCCAAAGCCCAACAAAATCCTTTCTGTTAGTTTCTCTGTAGAGATTAATTTTAAAGTATCTAAAAAGTTATAATCATTCTATAATCTTGTTAAAAATTAATGAATGACAAAGACAATTAATAACCTACAGTTCCATCATCTTGGTGTTAAAACTGTTAAGGAGTTGCTACTTCTTTTAGTTATACAGATACCAGATATATCTTTAAATTAGTTATTATTTTAAAAAATCAAAATGCTGGATTAAGGATGTAGCCCTGATGGTTTCTGTGGGTCTTAGGATCTTTGTGCTAAGACAGGTTGTCTACATAGAGCATTTATTTAGAAATCAGAGAAAACTTTGCAAATCCCTGAATGGATTTGTGAGACAGAGTGGAACAGCAGCTGTTCAAGGAAAGCTGGGTCTGGATTCCCTTCTGCAGCACCGGGAACTGCCTGGCTCTGCAGTGTCCTGGGTGCTGCTCTTGCTGCAAGAGGAGGAGGAGGGGTGTGGCTGAAGGCCGGGGACAGGAGAGCTCTGAAGTAGCCCAGGGATAAAAAGAGCTCCAGCAGCCCTAGAACTGCACTTGTTCCCAGGGCATCCTTAAACATGGGCTGTTGCACAAACATTCACACCTGCAAGCTCAGTCTAATGTGGAACATGAGTTACTGGGGAAGTGTTGAAAAGGGAGCTCACTTCCTGTGGGGAGAGGAAAATTCTGAGTGATCTCTGTTCCTTTCTAGATAGTTTTTTCACTGCTGCAAATCTAGGTTTGTGACACCAAGACATTCACCCATGCAAATCTGATTTAGCTGAAATTAAGGTATAAAAAACGTGTTAGTTTAATTTCCAAAAGTAACACGAGTTTTATGATAATCAGTAGTTCATAACAGTTTTGGGGTCTGTGTAATTTATAAATTATCCATATTTTAAATGAGCTCTTACAGGTAGTGACTGTCTTCTGGTTTTCCAGTGAGGATGCACTCAGAGATACCCCAAGCAACACTTAGTGAGTCTGAAGAAGTAATGAGTCATTCTCCAAAGCATATTGAATCAGGAGCTGGCTGAATAACAAACCACTTTGTTACTTTTATAATTTATGGGTTTGTTAATAGGATTTACTGCAAATCTCACTGGCTGTTAGAGAATTCCACTGTGTCATTATCAGTGTATTTCTTGGATAACCCATCTCTTTTCCTGTTACTGCAGAGACACTCAGAACCATAACAAGACTATTATGTCACCCGAAGCAAGACCTTCCCTTTTTATATTGAGTATCCCCTTTACTCCTCTGAGTCTGCTTCCTCCCAGCCTTTCAGCCACCATCTTCATGGACCTGCAGCTTCTTCCCTTGAAACCTGAGGCCTGGCTTAAACATATTTGCCCCAGCTGATGTCCCTCTTGGCCTGTCCTTGCTATGATTCCAGAGGAATTGAGATATTCTCAAAATCCACGAGTCAGTGGTTGCCTGCCCTTATGCATGATCACATAGGTTTGGTTTTGATTTCTAAAATTCCTTGAAATAATAATATAGGAGGGGAAAGGTTTGTGTTGAATATGCAGGTGCAGATGGGAAGGAAAAAAGTCCAGTAAGTTGAGTGGCCGTTTAACATTCAAAATTATTTTGGTGAATTGTAGATGCCACCTGAAAAAATCAGGTAATTCTCTGTAGAGGACGGTCATTGCATCCTTATAAATGTGGGATGGAAATAGAAAGGAAGAGATTTGAAAAGAGATCTTTCTACAGGAAGTGACTTGTAGTTGTGCTGTGTCATATTATTATGAAAGAAAACACTGTGCTCTGTGTAGAAAAGAGGAATGCAGCCTGTGAGAAGCATGGTCTAATATTTTTGTTCTACTTAGCCATTACCAAGGCCCTGATCTTGGCTGTAGCAATTTAAGGTCTGGAGCACAGCACTGATGATGAGAGAGACAGTAACCATGGCAGCAGAAAAAGGGACTTCTGCCCTAGGAAGTAAATCATGGAACCACAGAAGGGTTTGGGCTGGAAGGGACCTTAAAGATCATCTCCTTCCAACTCCTCTGCCATGGGTAGGGACACCTTGCACTAGATCAGCTTCCTCAAAAGCCCCATTCAACCTGGCTTGGAACATTTCCACAGGAATCCACAATTGCTGCAAACAAAGTGACACTTCTGTCTTTGTCAGAAAACAGGGAACAGTGCTTCAACCCCAGCAAAGAATGTACCTGTTGAGCTTTTAAAAATTTCCTAATGAAAAGCAGTTAACATTAGTTTCAATGAGGAATAATTAGTTTCAATTAGTTTCAACTAGGGATAGTGTGCAGTCTCCATCTTTGAAGGTCTGTAAGTACAATACTAAGTTCCTAATGTATCAGGTAAATAACTGTGGCCAATTCCTTGATTTTATTTTAAGAAATATAATGTTCAAGAAAAATACCCCACAAAAGTAGTCAAACCTTATTTCTGGTTCTCTCAAGTTTAAGAGTTGGATTTGATGTTCCTTGTAGGTTGCTTCCAGCTCGAAATATTCTATGATTTTGTCCTGGGTATTGTATGTTCATTCTGAAATAGAAATTTTCAAGCAGGGTGCCAATAATCTTTGGAATATTTTGGCCAACTGGAGTATATGACATTCCAAAAGAAACTGCAAAGTAATATCTCTGCATAAAGGTTTAGATCTCTTCAAATTTTAGTCACTTAGATTTTCATTTCAGAAAGGCATTTATTTTGGCAAAGCATTAATACCAGTTCCTGTTCATAAACCAGAATATTTTAAAAGGCCACTGTGCAATTTTTTTTGTTGCCACAATCTACAGCTTCTAAAAAATAATTATTCCTTGAAACAAAAGTATGTTTCTAAAGAAAAAGCCAGCCATAAGTAACTTGAAGTCTGCTTTATTTCCAAATCTTATTTTCTGAAATGATTTCTTATGAATTGAATGCAAATTTTTCTAGACATTATTGTGTCACTTAAAGAACAATATATTAATCTTAAAATAAGAATCTAAATTTTCCAAATTTAATGGAAAGCAGTCAGAGGTTTTGTCCTGCTTAGCCAGTTTGAATTCCTATTTTTAGTGTATTTGCATGTCTTCATTCAACAGAGTAAAATAGCAGACCTTCATTCTAGTTAGCATGCAGTGTTTGCATCACTTTTCTGAAGAGGCTTAAAGAACTTTAACTTTTATAACAATATAAGTCCCTATCAATTAGATGTTGTAATTTCTCCTATAAAAGAACTCCTTTGCATAATTACTTGACTTATCATCAGAGAAACTTCTGGGTTGTGAAAATATGCTCAAACAAATTCTAAAAAGGATAATTCAGAAGGCAGTTCATAGGGCATCAGGCATTAAATAACAATATTTTGTGAATTATCTTTACTAGGGTAAAAAAAAAATGAGCAGAGAAGTACAAGCAGACAGAAATTGGGTATATTAGTTTTAAAGCAGAATAAAAATATCCAAAGGAGAAGAGGAAAAAAAATTTGTCAGACTTTTTTGTTGTGGTGGTGGTCCTTCATTGTTTTGTTTTGTTTGAAAGATGTTGTGGGTTTTGTTTTTTTTTTTTAGGTTGTTTTTCTTCCCCTGCTTTGTCCTATGTTGTCATGTCATAATTAATTAACCTAGTGAAATTGCTTCATTGCATGTCTTATTAACCCTTCCTATGTTCATTCTCTCCTGACTTAAAAGAATAATCCATTAGAATTTAACCCTGATGGCTTGAAGAAGGCTGCTGTTCAGAAAGCCCTGAAGGTAACATTAATATAGTTGTCCATTTAAGGTCACAAAAGTCATTGGAAATGCACGAATGCCTGCAACACTCTGCTTCCAACACTGGATGGGATTTCTATTGCCAGATACATATTTAGTGTAATTCTGTTTCACTTGAATTTGATTTCAAGAAGCCAGTGTCAGGATGTTGTTAAAATACTGTGCTCTGTGGTAATTTGAACTCTAGATCAGATTAGTGGAGTTCAGGCTGCTTGAGAAGACTGGGGGAAAGTGCTGAGAACTGATTTGTGGTAGTAACTAAAGAATGAAGCTGACATGAAAGCTAAGGCATCTTTTACATACTGAGTGATACCTTATCACTCAGCCCTGAATGATTGCTTTGGAATAATCTTGTTCCTGCAAGATGTTTTTAGTAGGTTTTACATCTTTTATATGACTGCTAAAGAAATGTGGGCCAGCTTTTTGGCAGGCAAACTTGGAAGGAGCTGATGTTCAGCTGGAGGAACTTGAACAAGGGACAGACTTTTAACAGGCTGTCAGCAAAGAGTCTGTCAGTACCTGGTGTTAGAGGTACATTGTATGTGTGTGCACATTGCTTAATTTGAATTAAAAATTATTCCTATTCACATATCAGCATAAGTGATAGGGTCTTTTGTCACCTCCTGTAATTTCATCATTTTATGAAGAAAGTTTCAGGCACCATTTTGTGGACAAAGAAAAAATGAAGATAATGTCACCTACCATTTTAAAACACCATGAGTTGCAGTGTAGTATGGCTTTCTTTCTGTCCTGTAAACATTTGTATTCAGTGCTTAATATTTTTTTTATTAAAAGTCATACAAAAAGAAAGGCAGCATTCATCCAAGAAAGGAGTGCTTTCTTAACTGCTTTATTTCTAAAGGAAAGTATGGTTCTAAGCAGTATGTGACATTAAAGTTAAGAATTATTAGTGGAAGTATGATGTCCAAAATGTAAGTTCAGATCAAAAAATATATCTAAACTATGCACTTTCTTAATTTAAAAATACAAAATATTTGAATCACTTGGTTATAATTGTGACCTTACATGCATTAAGATTTTAACTAACTTTCTGTTGATATACCTGACTTTTCTACAGGGTAGAACTCAAAATAACCATGTATCCTACATTTTCTAGGCTTTTTAAACTGCATTAACACCTGCTTGAGATGATTAACTTTCATGTCTAAATTTTCTTTCTGAATTGAATTTTTGTTAGATTAAATTGAAATTCATGAAAGAAACCTGTAGTTGGAATGTTCCTTTGCATATATAATCTGTTTCTAAACTGATGTTTGTTTTCACAGTTTGATGTAATGCTATACAGCTGGTGAGCAAGGCTCAGATATGGCAGATGGTTGATTCTCTAATAAAGAGTATTTGGTAAACTGTAGAAATATCCCTCACATACATTTTAGTGCATATTCTTTCTCCCCAAAAATGAAAAGTAGGGAACATCAGTGTTGGATACCACATCCAATTTAATAGTTCTACAGCACTGTATATAAAGTTCCTGAGTTTGTGCTTTCTTCATATCTTCCATCTGCATGCAATATTCATTTGGCAGTTTTAACTATGCTTCATTAGCTTTGGGGATTGTAATGCTCATTAAAAGATAAGAATTTGCATCTTACCAGTTTCATTTAAAGAAAATGGAAATTAGTCTAAAACTCCTGCTTATTAGTAGCATATTGCTTCAGCATATTCAGGTAGTTGGATGCCTTCATGTTGATATGTTCACCAGCTACTCACTAGTCTGCCATTCCAGCCAGCTGAATAAAATACTGAGAATAATAGAGAAGCATGTAGTAGAATGCCTATGATTTGTATTTTAAGATGCAAACATTTTAAGTTTCAGACGGGAGAGGTTTTGCTTTATTCTGAAGGCAAAGTTTTTGCTTTTTCTTTACCAGTCAGGAAAGAAAATAAATAGCAATCCCAACCCACTTGTTTTGCTGTCAGTTGGACACAAGGCGCAGGAAAGTAAGGTAAGTTCCTACTCTAGATTTGGCTCTGTCTTCACATATTTGGGAGCTCTGTGAGCTTGGCATTTGGCTGACAAACCATGGAACATGTGCACACACTAAGTTGCCACCAGAACTGAAACTGGCAACAAGCAGCCACGGATTACAACCTATGACTTAAAACCACCTTATCAACTAAACCATGGCACAAAGGGCCACATCCAGTATTTCTTAAACACCTCCAGGGATGGTGGCTCCACCACCTCCCTGGGCAGCCCATCCAGTGCCCAGTCACTATTTCTGTGAAGAATTTTTTTCTAATGTCTGGGCTAAACTTTGCCTGGTGCAGTTTAAGACTGTCTCCTCTTGTTCTGTCAGGTTGTCTGGGACAAGAAGCTGACCCCCACCTGGCTACAGCCTCCTTTCAGGCAGCTGCCTGTCAGGGAGTTGTAGAGAGCAATAAGGTTCCCCCTGAGCCTCCTCCAGACTAAACAAACCCAGCTCCCTCAGCTGTTCCTCATCAGACTTGTTCTCTACATCCTTCCTGGGCCTTGCTGCCCTTCTCTGCACACACCAAATAAAACACCAAACTGAAAAGTGTGCTCATATCTTAACACCACCTCTATTAGACAAACTGTTTGATAATTTGTGTACTTCCTTTTTTCTTAACTTCAGATTAGATACAAGACCAATGAACCAGTATGGGAGGAAAACTTTACTTTCTTTGTACACAATCCCAAAAGACAAGATCTTGAAGTTGAGGTATGTGTCTCACTGTCCTTAGATACTTTTATTTTCTAAGATGTTGCAGCAGTAAAAGTCACACATTGAAGGCTGTTATGAAATGAGACTAAATATAATGTGAACATGATTAAAATTATACTTAAAGTATTTTTTTTAGACCAGGAAATGAAATTTTATTTCCCTTTACTACTAAAAGGAAGAAAGACTATAGCCAGGCTCTCATATGAATAACATAGTTAATGATTGTCTTTTCTAATTAAAAAAAAAAAAATCCAAAAGTAAATTTGGTATGCTAGTTTGGAACTAGGAATCTTTCCTCTCTCACACCAAGGAAGTATTCACTTTATCCAAATACTGTGTGTCCCTTTACATTGTTGACATGTCCTTTACATAGTTTTAAGAGACTGAAGTGTAAATGAGGACTGTCTTAGTCACCCTTTCTCTAATAGCTGTGGGAATTCATTTTCACACGGACAGTTTGGAAACATGTAGTTACTTTGCTCAAAGGTCTGGTAGATGTAGATGTGGTGGTGGTTACTTTTCTGTCTTACTTTTGCTGTAGAAGGTAAGGTTGAAGAAACAAGGCATTGAGTATATTTGTTTTTTCCTCCTTCAATGTAAAGTAATCTTAAAATCAGGGAAATCTGGTTTAAGAACAAACTACTTTCCATATTGTTTGAATTTTTTTTTTCTGAATAAAAATGTAATTTCTTTCTTTGAATTCTTACAAAGCAGATGATACACAGTAACTTAATTTCTGTGTTCCTTCAGGTGAGGGATGAACAACACCAGTGTTCTCTGGGGAACTTCAAGCTGCCTCTAAGCCAGTTGCTAGAGAGTGAAGATTTAACTATGCATCAGCGATTCCACCTGAGCAACTCTGGTCCCAACAGCACTATAAACATGAAGATTGCACTCAGGGTACTCTAAAACCTTTCCCACTGCAAACATCTGAAAGCATATTTAGGGCTGTGGTGACTCCTGGTCTGCCAGCTTTTGAAGAAGCCAGTGCAGTTCCTTTGATGTCACCTGCCAAGTGTCTTTGGTTGTGCAGAGCTATCAGTACACAGAGATAGCCTCTAATTTAAATATATTCCATTTGAAAACTGTACAATGCTCAGCATTCACCTGCATTAATTAGAACCAAGGTCCCCTGTGATTTTAGGCTTGGAAATCATGTTTGAAACCTGAATTCCTTCAAATCTCTTTTGAACTCAGTGGGCTACAGATCAGTGAAAAAGCTTCCATCTAGAAATGGAACTGAGGTTTTGATGGTTTTAAAAAACAGAGAATATAAGGAAAGGAAGTACCTGCATAGTACTGGAACAATTCAAACCAGCTTTCAAGCATGTTGGAGTTTTGAAAGCAAAACTTCCATACCTGAAAGTTGGTTTGTCTTTTTTCTCCATCTAAATTACTTGGTTTAATAAGGTACTATATCTCTTTGCAAACACTGTCACACTTGTGTTATTTTTCTTTCTAAAGCACTTTGTTGCTTAGGTGTCATTAATGAATTAAAGTAACATATAAAAGAGAAAGTAAGAACAATGAGAAAAAATTGTGATGTAAAATTAAATTTCAAAAGAGTAGAAGAAAAAATTACAGAATATCTTTCCAGATGGCTAGAACTGCAGAGTAAATAGCATTTACACCAGAATATGGGAAGGGAATAATGAGGAGAATAATTCTTAATGAATGGAGAATTTTACATTGTTTTATAGTTACTGCAGTTGCCATGAAGAAGGTAGACATGTGTTTTGTCATGTAAAGCATTTCATAGTGAAGAGTTAGTAATTGTGAATGGTTTTGGTCCTGCTTCAGTGTCTCAGCTTTACAACTTGTCACTAATCAGTATTCTTGTAATTTCTTCCTGTTTCTTATACTACAAAATAGTAACATTATGTGTATTTTCCTGTATCCAGGTCCTTTCTCTTGAAAAGCAGGCAAGATCTCCAGATCATCAACACTCAGCCCAAGTAAAAAGGCCGTCTCTTTCCAAAGATGCAAGAAAATCATCTTTTAAGCCTCAGGTTCCTGTCTCGCCAACATCTGATCCAAACAAGCCCGCTCCAGCATCCCCAGTGACTGACAGTGATAAAAAGACTGACACAGCTGATAAAAGTCAGCCTCCCAATGCCAGCCCGCAGTGGCCAACAGATCTGAGCCGCAGCTCCTCCAGTCTCCACGCCTCCAGCTTCTCCTACTCGCCCAGCCACCTGTCGGTGAAGGAGCCCACGCCCAGCATCGCCTCGGACATCTCCCTGCCCATCGCCACGCAGGAGCTGCGCCAGAGGCTCCGGCAGCTCGAGAAGTACGGCTTCACTGGTGGCTTCTGCAGCACATCCCAGCTGATTCACAGAGTGCCACCAAGCAGGAGTGCTTAGTTCACCTGTCAGAAATGTTCTTTACTGTTCAGTCTTTGGGATTTTCTGCTTCTTCCTGGTACCTCAGACAGAAGCTGCAATTAGAAGTTCCTTACCATTGTGATCGTCTGCTAGATAAAGTCCCACTTCTCATAGCTGCACTTTGTAGTTTCATGGCAGTAGTTGCCTGTTTCACCACTGAATGCTATTAGCACTAATGAAGCCAATTAAGCTGGAAATGGTTGGTCTTTTAAAATAATTCAGAGGGATATTAGACTATAAAGAATGTTAAATGGGCAGTCAGTTACTGTGCAGTCACTGAAGATTGCTGCAGACATGCTTTTTTAAATTCTTCAATTTGTTTTTCACTTGTCTCAGTGGGCAGCTATACTTACCAAGTACAGACAGCTGAGCAGCCATCCTGCTCTGAGTAGGAGACTGGAAACTATTCATTCCCTATTCATCAAGCTTCTCTGTGAATCTAAGTAGAAAGATTTTAATTTTTTATTTGCAAGGGGTTGAACCAATTCATCTTTTTCTCTGTTCTGTTCTGTTCATAGAATCAACTGAGTCATAGAGGTTGGACAGAATCTCTGTTTGATCATCCCTCTGCTCTAAGCAGATTCCTCTTCAAAGTTAGATCAGGTTTCTTGGGCCTTGCCCAAACAACTTTTGGTTATCTCCGAGGATCGAGATGCCATAGCTTGTTCAGCAACTCCAGTGCTTAACCACTCCACTTTTAAAACAGTCTTCCTTATTTCTATTGAAATTTGTCTTGCTGCAGCTTGACTATGGTCTCTTGTTATTTTACTTTGTGCAGCCATGAGTATTCTGAATTATCTTCTCTAAAGTGTCTGCTTTAAGTAATGGAAGGGCTGCAGTTGAGTCTGCTGTTGGCTCTCTCTTCAATTTGTACAAGTACACCACCTGCTTAGGTGCTCCAGACCCCCATTTATCTTCATAGTCACATGCTAACTTGTCTTGACTTTGTCAGGCTCTCTCCTAGTCCAAAACTGAGTTAGAGTTTGTTATTGTGATAAAGATTGAAGTACTACTCCTCATGCAATGCACAAATGTCATACTTTGTCATTTGGTAAGAGTGGTAAAGCTGCAGGTAATGAGGCTCTTTATTGCAGACCACATGCTTAGATTATTATTATTTTTTAAATTTCAACTAAGAAAATACTGAAATTAAATCTTTATTCTATTTTTTTTAAAGTGAATTACTTGCGAATTTTAACGGATCAATCACTTTGTAGTAGATATTCACAAAACAGACACTCTTCTCCCTTGAAGATAAGATATCCTTTACGTGACTGAGAAATGGCAAATATGGCACATACAGTCCTGTGTGATATGGAAAAAACTTACAGTCAGTTCACACAAACTAAAATGAGCATTTCATGGAGATGAGGGAACTGCATATGCTGGCCATTCATAAAACACAAGTTCTTAAGCATGGTGCTTGCTTTTCACTTAAACACGACCTGTAATTGTAAATTTTTTCTAATCTTCTTTTCGTGGTGATAAAAACTATAAAAAAGTAAAATGGTTGTGTTTATACTGAGCTTTTATGACAGGAAGTAGATGTAAATGATCGCTATTTAATGCCAAGGATATCTACATTTCTATGATATGAGAATTTAGAAAAGAATGAGCTGCTCTTCTAATTGGCTTCTGGCCTTAGGTAAGAATGGCCCATGCCTGAGGTTTTCATTGCAGTTAGCACTATTATTCTTTCCAATATCCTAGATGCTGCTTTGATGTTTATTTTAGGGCAAGCAAGTTCTTTACTTGTAATGAATAAAGTCCCATATTCCTAACGACAAGAATACCTGGCCTATTTTGGATAGCAGAGTTGTTGGCCAAGGAACTGAAGTACGAGAATCTGATGAGGATATGCTCACACATTTACACATGTTCTCTTATTTTCCATTGGTCTAGAGAAGTTAAATGGATAATTTCTGGGAAAGCTGCTCAGTTAAGGCTTACTTTTAATGTGTATTTTAAAAACTAAGCATAATGTTCTGCTTTTTCCTGCAGTGGAACAACTCTGGGGCAATCTCCATTAGGACAGATTCAGCTAACAATTCGTCATAGTTCACAAAGAAACAAACTGATTGTGGTGGTGCATTCCTGCAGGTGAGCATACAATACACAATTTCATATCTGGGCATATTTCTTTATAAAGTGTGTCCTATCCTGACTTACTCTTAAGTGGATTGGTTAATCTTTATTATTTTTAAAACAACATATGCATAAATACAAAAATATACAAAGCTGTACTCAGAATCAGGAAAAACTTTGTGGAAGCTTTTGCTCTGATTTTATATTTGTCTATTATGCCTCTGTCAGATTTTAAATGAAAATGACATTCTGATTTTTATCAGCAGTATCTGAAAGCTGTTTCTAAGAGACTGATTTTTTTATGGAATGACCAAAACACATGATTTCTAAAAAGCCATATCCAAACTTCAAATTAGAATTCAGGAAACATTGCATTCCTACCTCTGCTCTCTGCTTACTTGTCATCTGGTCTTGTACAAGTCACTCCACATCATATTTTGTACAGGGGAACTGCTTCATGTACTAAATTATGTGATGGTAGTGTAGACATTTATATTCAGCAATGTGTTGATTTTCTAAGTGCTTTTCCTTGGTTTTCACTTTCCCAGAAATCTGATAGCGTTTTCTGAAGAAGGATCCGATCCCTACGTGCGAATGTATTTATTGCCTGATAAGAGACGATCAGGAAGAAGAAAAACACATGTATCAAAGAAGACATTAAACCCAGTGTTTGATCAAATGTAAGTTCTAAACTATGTGTAGTAGTTTTGTATCATGTAATTACAAAGCTGTCAAATCAAGATTTCTCTGCTTACTGAAGGGTGAGCTATTTTAAGTTCCTGGTTGTCAGCATTAGACTTGATCATACTTTTCTGCTGTAACAGCTCTTCTATCCTTCCATTCCCTGTTATCACTATAGCCCTTCTTGCTGTTAGCAGCCACTTGTGTCTTTTCTGCCTTCCTACATGAGCTCCATGCCCCTGTGCTGGTAGCTCAGCTGCAGGATTTGCTCTCCTGGCAGGTGGTGAGAACACGAGTGCCTTTAGCTGGCCAGTGCTGCTGATCTCCCTTCCTGCCAGAAAGCTTGGCAGGCTGAGTGCCTGGCTGATGCTGCCAGCCACTGCCTGTGCATGATCACATTGCTCAGTCACTCTGTGGCACTTCTCAGCATCCAGGGAGTCAGGAAATTTCCTTGTAAATTATATCCTGGCTCATATGTTGGAAGTTGTACCAGCTTATGCAATATTATATTGCATAAAAATCCTTATCCTTGCACTCATCTTTTTGATAGTAGTTTCACTCACATGTCTGCCCCTTACTCTGCCACCCATCACTTTTCAATAAAGACCTTTCTCTACTGACAGCAAATAAACTCAGATAAAACACCACTTCAGTCCCTTCTGTCCAAGGCAAATCTGTAAATCATTAGTTAGAGGCTCCAGCACATTTTCTCAGTAGTGCAGATCTCTCCTGTTCATTCCAGGTAATAGATTTATTTCACCATGCCCTTTCCAAGGGAAATGTATTGCAAAGCAATAAAGCTGTTTAAGAACTGTCGTGACAAATAGATTTAGTTTGTGGTATAACCTTGTCCTGACTTTGTCTAAGTTTCAGCTCTAGCAAAAAGCTATGTTTGATAGTTCTCTTTAGCCAGCAAGGAAAGAAAAGGAGCTCTGGCTATCAAGTACCAAGGATCAGTAAGACTGACCAATCTTTTCCTTTTGGAAAATGCTAATACGGAGCTGTCAGTACAGTAGGATTCCACATTCTCTTTTCTCTAGAGTCAGTGCTTGACCTTTGCTTCCTTTTGTCTTGTTCATGTGTTTGTTTTATCCTACCAGTGGCCTCTAGAGGCCAAAGGTAACAGAAGTCTCAAACATTTGATGTTGATATTGATCACAGTTTTCAAGAAAAAATTTAGGCAAAACATTGGGATTTTTTTCTTCATTTGTCTCAGACCTCATTTTTTAGTTTGGGGAGGGAGATGGTTTGGTTTTGATTTGAGTGGCTGTAGGAACTGAACTTGGATCTCTGGTGTAGAATTCCCTCTAAAGCATCTCTTTGCCTGTCAGGTTTGATTTCAGTGTTTCCCTGCCTGAAGTACAGAGAAGAACACTAGATGTAGCAGTGAAGAACAGTGGTGGATTCTTGTCCAAAGATAAAGGGCTGCTTGGCAAAGTAAGTTGACAATAAGCAAATTCTGTTAATATAGCTTGTTATTATATAAAAGAAAAATCCTCTTGACATATGAGTTAGTGTGGATTGAAGCCTGATTCAGGTACGAAGCTTTCAAAAATTACAGGTGCCTTAGATGTCAGGCTTCATTAAGGGAAGGACCAAACTGCAGAGCCAGACTTAGAAAGATGAGAGTGGTAAGTTCACAGTAACAAAAGAAATGTGCTTGTCAGACTTACTAATCATGCTGTCAGAGAAAGGAAAGAACCAGTAGAAACCAGGCAGTATTTCAGAAAATGTTCAGACAAAACTGGAAAGACAAACGAGTACTTAGGGAAACACACAGTAATTAAATTCCCAGTTTGTAAAATCCATGAGAAAGAGCTGCTACTGGAGACATTCCCAATGCCAACACCAGCTGTTGTGTTTGTAACTTCAGTGTTCTATAGGCACACATTAAATCACTCGATTTGCTACACACGTGATTTGGAGCATGAAAAAGGAATAGTAAATTCCTACACCCTTTCAAATTGCCATATCTGAGCTCTGTGAAGAGGATGAGAGAGACACAGAATCATGGTCAGTTCATGGTGAGCAGTGTCCTCAATTTTCCTGTTCATCTGGAAGGCTGTTAGTAGGAACACATCTGCTGATTGCCACTGCCATGCTGTGACATGCTCTGGGACTGTACCACTGAAGGGTATGGATTTTAAGGTCAAAAACAGCAACTTGAAACTTTAGGCAGATAGCAGAGAGCTGTGATGACAAGGATATAAAATACATCATTTACCAATCTTTAATAGAAATAGAATGAAAGGCACACACAGTGCATTGACTGGTAATTTAACTTTCCACAGTTATTAATACCTCTGGCATCTGAAGAACTTGCTAAAGGCTGGACCCAGTGGTAAGTATAACATTTCCTTTTTTAATAATAGTACTACATGCTAACAACTACTGTGTTAATAGTTTTAATAATACATGCTAAATGTAAAAAAACCAATCCTTTGGTATTTTCTTTTTCAGGTATGATTTGACAGAAGATGGTACAAGGCCACAGGGTGCAAGTTAGGCCCATGGACACCAGGAATTCCTCACACATAATTTTGCCAACCTTTATATATTTTTAACGCGTTGTTTTCAGAGATGTACCAATATTATTTTTATAGCTTTACTGATTTAGTTCTTAGACACATCCCCAATAATTTTATAACACTTTGTCATTTTATGTAGACATAACCTTCCTCATTGTTAAACTTTATATTTTATTTTGCTAAACAGTTCTATGTGTTACTGTAATGTGCAATAGTACAGTAAAGTAACCTTTTGTGTTTAAATTGATCTTTATGATGGCTGTACCTATTAGAAAGTGAAAAGAACATGTTCTGCTGTTTTTCTGCCTTGTTTTATATCTCACCAAGGTATACTGTACCATGTAAATATATACTATTTTTTTATAATTCTTTCATGCTGGTTTGAATTCAGAAGAAAATTAGATAAAGGATGCAGATATTTTCTTCTAAATGCATGTTAATTTCTTCAGATGAATCTCTTTTGTCTTTGCAGCACAATGGTCTTAATCATTTTGTGATACTCTGCAAAAAGAAACTGCAGAAAAACATTTTACTTTATTGTGTTTCTGGCCCAGTGGGGCTAGCTTAAAATGTATAAAACATTAACATTTTAATATTTATATATAAATGTATTATTGGGAAATCATGCTATAGAATATTATAAATAAAAAAGAGAATTCTATAAATATTGTATAAAAACAGGATGAGGTCCACAAATAACAGTTTCTAAATCCGAGTTTTCATTTAATGGAGTAAACATAACAAACAGTACAGTTTTATTATACAGGTTCAGTTGGATTTTGTTATTTATTCTTGTACTCTGGAGTACTAGACGTGATCTTTTGAAGGTATGAGGACATAGATTTTTCTGTATGATAAAGAAGATGTCTAAACACTTTAAACTGTCCATACCACCATGTTACACTGATTTATAAGTAGACAAATCAGCTTGCAAGTTCAGTTCATATAGCAGGCATATGTACAAGACATATGTTATTTTTATTATACAGTACTGTGTTAAAATAGTATGTTATGCTATACCTTCTGTAATCCTCAAATGTACACCAGTAGGTAAGAAAGTGGGGAACTGAGATTAAATTGACTGTCCTTGACAGTTGCTTCATTGCTGCTTAGTATGTTTGGTGCATGAACAAAATGCACATCAGTGGTCCAGGCAGGTTTCTGAGCAATGCTGTCCTTCTCCTGAAGCATTGCCATGGGCTGGGCAGGAGGCAGCAGGGACACACCATCAGCACAGACTGATCCAGGCAGGCAGGATCTGAAGGGAGACTATCAGCCCCAACAGCTGAGCTCATAACTCTAACTTTATGAATTATGGGACTTCTTTTTTGTATTCAGAACTGGTTTTTCTTTTTCTGGTAAGTTTTTTCAGACTGTTAGAAAAATGTGCATTAAGAATCCAAGAGAACTGCTTGGCTTTTGGAAAGCCAGTGTCCTCATCCTTTGAGAAGTATGCAATTAGACAGAGTATATTATTTAGCTACGATTCTAGAATGATGTCTCAGCCAAGAAAGAATTTTAAAGCAGAATGATTAACTCCTGAAATTAGCTTTATTGTAAGAAAACTGACAGAACCTTAACTCTAGATGTAGAATTTGCCTACATTACTAGATGTACCAAAGTGCCTACCATAGATGTAGCTTTTTGTCTTTTTCAAGTCTAAAAATTTAAGTTTGTCTAAATTCAATTTAATATGAACATTTGTTATGGTTATGTGTGACCTGCACCATACACCTCTATACGGTGATGGCCTTCTCATTGCCACATTTTATACATGACAATTTTATCAAACAATCTTACATTGCAATTTGTACTGTAACTGCTGTCACTGGGCTGGACAATAGAGATTCTTTGTAAGGAAACATTTCCAATTGAAGGCTTCACTGTATATTGAAATGTATGAGTAGCTATATATTCACTCATCTCTTCATATTAAATATATTATGAAATATATATTTTCTTTGCTAGTTCTCCATTAAGATGTTAAGAATGGAAAGACAGAGAATTGTTCTTAATGCAATTGTTCCAAATGCTAATCTGAATAAATGAGGTCTAAGAGTGGCAGTTCAGCATAATTGTCTTTTGCCTTTCTTCAGTCTGAGGTGGAAGGATTTTTTGCTCTACATCTTGGCCAGCAGCTGCACAGAGTTTGATCTGCAGCCAACAAATAGGGTGTTAAACTGATTCAGTGTTTCAAGTCTTAAGTGAAGTCTGGGGACAGAAAACTGCACTTGAACAAAAAACATTTCTGTCTTCTAAAGTCTCAAGGTGGAAAATAATGCTGTGTTCAGGCAAATGTGAAAGAATAGCACAAAGTGAGTAATTGAATAAAGAATATAGGGCAGGTTTTCAAAATAGCTCCCTACCTAAAATTAGGGATTGGTTCTTAGAGATCCCATTTTCCATTTAGGAATCTGAAATAAAGAAGTTGAACTGTCACTGCAATTCAGCAACTAGGATTCCCATAGTCTATAATCAGTTCTGGATGCCAGATTTTCAGAAACATTCTCCTGAGTGAATTTGGATCAGACTGTGAGTGCCTAGATGAGATTGATTCTTTGGATAGTGGATGCAACTTTTGTATTACCAAATTCCAGTTGTTCCATTTATATGGAAGTAGAAAGGACAATTTTGCCTCTGGGCAAAAATTGCACCTCATTATCAAGTCATTTATTCAATGTCAACTGATAGCTTTTCATGTAGTTCTTGTTTATCCTGTGCCTTAAAATATGAACATATGAAGATGTTTAAGAAATGGTTAAAAAATAAGCTTTGTTACCTGTATGTACCAACACATGTTCTGTACTATTGAAACTGTTTTTAGAATTACTCTGCTTCACTGACAAGAAAACCAGCTTTCTTAACTACAGCAGTGGTATAACTCAAACTCAAATCAGCATGCATATCACTTGGAAGTGGACTAAAAAAGTTTTAATTTTCTGTCTTGAATCCTTTATCAGAGCTGCAGCAAATGGTGAGAGTTAAAATGAGAACAAAGGGTAATCAATTTTGTACAGGTTGCCTTTTTTGCTCATGTAATTCTACATTATGATGCATGTATTTATTCAATAAATGGTTCGTATGGAAGTCGGCGTGTTGCTTCCCTCTACACACAGACCCCTTCTCCTCTCTTGCATATCCCTGTTCTAACTGGTAATACAATGAATTGGATTTTTAAAATAGTCCTGTATCCAGACTCCTGTAACCTAGGGAGCCTCGCTATAAGGTCTGTACGCAGATTTTTGGAACTTACATGAGAGAAAGTGGAGTGAGAAGTGCAGGACACTTCATGGGGATTTCTGTGCTTGTCGTTCTGGAACAGTACATCCTTTGTTCAACTTCAGTGTCTAAATTTTATTTTTCTCTTAAATTGATCAATTGAACAAATTGTCATAATTCTAGCACTTATTAATTAATTGTCTTTAATTATCTTTCAAAAAGACCTAGAACTTTATTTAATTGCCTTAGATTTAGAATCAGCAGCTTTCTACCAACGGCATTCTTTCCTATTCTTTCATTAGGTTGGTAAGGCTAATTGATGAAAAATATAATGATGTACTGCATAAATAAGAAAAAGGGTGTTCTATCCTCTATCCATTCCAGAAAAACTGCCATGGAAATCATGCTCTCTGCATGAAACATTAATTTATAATTAGTTATAATTCTACCACTAATTATGATAACCTCTTCCCATAAACAGTTACAGCTTGTCTGAATTCATAATATTCAGTCAGTTTTCACCAGCCATAAATAAAAGCTGCAAAACTTCATCAACCAGGCACTATCCCATTTAGAATGGGCCTGACTGCATAATCTTTAATGTTACTAACTACAAAATTATGTTCCTCTTTGATTTGTTTTTTTTTTTTTCCTTAAACGGAGATGTGTCCCTTTTTTAGCAGAATAAAAACAATCTGCTAATCAGCAGGAAGGCAGCTAAAGCCAAGGAAAAGCATAGCTGTCTCCACATGTCCCTCATGGCAAGGTGGTTCTGGATTGCACACTCCCTGGCAGTGCCAGTACTGATCAGGTGTCAGCATTTTCCTCACTTGGGTCAAGATCAAACCTTCTATTCAGTCCTGCAAGACAGGTGGTACCTGGATCAGCACTGCTTGTGCTCATCTTTCTATTCACAGACCTTTTTAGAGAGCAGAATTAACTGTGCAAGGCACTCCTGCAGATGGCTTTGGTATTGATTTGATGGGCCCATCTCAGCCCAGGATTCTGTACCAGTATTTGCTGTACTGTTTAAACTGCTTTGGGTTTGTAATTCATCCAGCCTCCACCTAGGAGCAGTGTTTGCCAATAAAGTTACCAATGTGGCTATTTTCAGTATTTTCTCAGCTAAGACCTGAATACAAAATTTGTTTCCTATGAAGTACCTCTTTTAATCAATTTAATTGTTTATGTTCTCCCCCAAACAAACTCTGAATGTTGGATGGTACCTTTGGTAGAATGAACCAAAACTGCAGATTGTCCTGGACCCGTTTGTCGTTGTAGCTGGCTTCTGAAGCAGTCAGGTTGTTTAATCCCAAATGGTGGCTTTGTATATTCTAAAGTGTCCAACTGTTGTAGCTTTCCTACTGATTTCTAAGGCAGTCAGGCTCTCAACAATATTCTCAGGCACTTTCTGAAATACATTTTATGAGAAGTGCAAAAATCTACTTGTATTTCTTTCAGTGTTACGCAGAAAATTTAGCTGCCAGAGTAGATGGCAGCTCTGGGAGGAAAGTTCTCTAATCTGTATTCATGTGATAGAGGTGATACTCTCTGTTCTCCCTGTCTGCAGGGAATATTGCTGCATGCCAGTCATCTCCAGTGGAATCCAATTTGAGCAGGCTCCTGCATCTCTGTTTCCTCACATGCCACCAAAGTGAAGCCAGCCTGTCTTTCATGTTAATCTTTGAGTCCTCAGTAGTTGTAAACTTTACAGCAAGGGAATTAAGGCCTAACAGTGATCATTCTTCCCTTTAAGATCCATATAGGAACATGTCCAAGGACAGCCCAAAGCTAGACAAGATTCCAGCCTTTCACACCAAGCAGTGGAAGGGCTGGTTCCAGCCCGGGATGTTTTGTGGCCTGGGGACACATGGGCCATTCCTGCAGGACTTGGTAACCCAGCCCTCAGAGCTGGGCACCAAGCACCTCAGCCTCTGTGCAGGAAATGACACGAGAAAGTTGTGATGTCCCTGCACCCAGCTGTGTCCTGTGAATTCACTCACCAGCTGTGTGGTAAGGATCTAATTGATGATCAATTTTATTTCTTAATTATTTAAGCAAAATGGCTCCTTTCTGCAGGATGTTGCATTAGATTACATGGTGAGGTCCCTTCCAACCTCAATTCTATGGCTCTCAAGTATTTTTTTTTTAACATTAAGGTAAATGTGCTGGAGCTCTGTGTACTCCTAGCCTGTGCTGTAATGCTGGTCTTCTGGGCATTCTTCCTGAGCCCAAGCTCTCAGGGATGGGCATGTAGCCCAACTCCAGCTGGGCAGAAACAAGGAGTCACACAGCTGGGAGCTGCAAGCTTTGCTGAGTCAGGATGCAAAAATCTGACAGGAATTAAAAATATATTAATTTGTGCATAGAACTTGAGTTGTAACGTTGATAATGCTAGTGAAATGGTAATTGTAGGTACTGAATGAAGGTCAGTAGTTTTACTCGATAACTGGGACAAGATTCTTAAACCCAAAAAAGGTGCATACATTTAACAGAGGTTGTTTCCAGCATGAAATTTCAAAGAAGTTTTTTTGTTTTTGTTCTAGTTGAATTTGCAAGCTAGTGTGTTATTCTACAAACTCTGAGAGCCTGACAACTAGAGCTTACTAAGCATGTCACAATGATTAATAATTTAATACAGAATATTTTGCAAGACAGTTTCATGCAGACTTCCCATGGGAGAAATACTTCAACTGATAGGCTGAAATCCCTGATGTATTTTGCATGATTGCTGTTGCTGTCTCTTAGGTTAAGTTGAAGTTACTGTGTTGCAATGTTTTCCACCTACAGTTTATAAGAAAGTTTATCTAGTTTTGCATGAATCATGAAATTCTCTGAGCTCAAGTAACTATGATAGCCACTGAATGGGTGCTCTGTTGTAACTTTCAGCTCAGAGTTCCACTGGATACATTTGATAAATTGTCAACAGCGTCCAAAGGACTTGGATTGTCCCCAGACCTGTCATTTATCCAGGTGATGACAATGAAATAAAGGGCAAAAATGGGTTAATGGAAATGGATGTTCATGACTCATTAATGATACTGGTAGCAATGCTGGTTCTTTGTTTTATTTGGTAAATCATTAATTAATTTGTATGTAAAATAAGTTGGAATCAAAAGTTTAAAATACTAAGATTAGCTTTCTGACAAGTTTCAATCTTAGTTTTAGGCAACTTTGTTCTATGCCATGTTTTTTACTCAATATGCTTTTTCAAGTTCAGATTATTTGAGACATAAAAATGCTTAATCTCTAATATTTTAATGAAAACATTTTAGTTTTGCTTGTCTTGTTTTTCACATTGAGACGTTAAAGTTTCTCCATGTATAGTCATTAATGCCAGTGTTTCTTTCTGAAGGTACTGTTATATTCCACTAGATGGTAGTGCAGACCCTTTTCTCAGAATCCTTTTTTGCTGCCTGTGCAGTTTATTGTACCATAAGGAAGTGGTCTGGATGAGAGGCATGCTTGGGAGGCAGCCTCAAGTCACCCTGGCTTAAATGCAGTGAACAGCAGGTATGGTCCTCATTGTGCTCTGCTCTCCCCCTTTTCCCTGAGGCACCAGAGATCCTAAAAGAATTGAGTTTCATAATGGGGGATTCCATTTGCCAATGGTTTTGTAGAGGTATTTAGTCATAAGGCACAGGGAAATTTTTAAAAATTATGTGAGGAAACATGAAACTTCTGGAAGATTAAAGTTCTCAGTTCACCAGAAATTCTTCATGCTTCTATCAGCAATTCACCATAGGTGTTTCATGCCTTAGATATCAAATTAGATTTGATTCTAGAACCCCCTTGAGTTGCTGACACAACTTTAATGAGATTAAGTGCAAAAAGTTGGAATTAATCAGAAGCAGGCAGAAGTGAAATCACAGTTCAGGATATGGAAAACGGCCAGCACATTTGAAACATCACTATGCTTTAAGTATTTATTGTTGATTCAAGCATGTGGCTAACAATTAAATCCATCATGGAGCAGTACAATCAACATGGGGGTAAAGGGAAGACAGATAAAATTCTACTAGAAAAAAAAATAATCAATTTTCCTTTGTTTAAGGACATGATAAGAAAGTTTGCTAAAACACCAGGTCTTGTGATGATAAAACTGTTTGATGGCCAGAACAGGAATAAATGACAAGTATGTCTAAACTTAGTGTAAATGGAAGCCCTCATGGGTGCCTGGCTCCACGTCTCCCCAGGCTGATAGCACGCTACTGTCAGTTCTGCAGGAAGGCAGCAGGACATGCATGCTGTAAAAAACCCCAGAGGGCTTTGGTCAGGTGCCTGGTCTGGATCAAGGACATGGGAACACCCCTGGTGACAAGGCCAACACAGATGTGAGAGAGAAGTGAATGCTGGTATAATGCCCAAGCAATGTAAAGCAGTTTGTTGTGTGTTTGTGTGTGTTTATATATGTATAAACTAATATGGATGAGCAAATCATGTCCATTCTGATATTTGTACTGCAGTTTCGTGTTTTTCGTGTTCGTACTAGGCAGATGGAACAGAGATGGTGTCATATCTAAAGGATGCATGTCTATCACAATGAAACCTCTAAGAGCACTTGTAAAATTAATAATAACAGTGATTTTGTACCTTAGAAGCAATTTTTCTCTTAAAGACTAAAATAGAATGGGAGCTGCAAGGAGACAGGACACTTACAAGAGCAGTAAATCATTATCAGAATTTAATTTAATAGGGTTAAAGTAATACAGAAATAGCATTTGTAACTGGAGTGTTTTATATCTGAAACAAATTAACTGACAAACTAATATTATAAATTTACTCAGTGATACATAGTATTCTGAAAGATGACAATGACTTTATACTAGAAAATGTTTGCTATAGTTGCAATGAAAAATTCCACTTCC